TTTTTTTTTTTTTTTTTAAGTAAAAAGTAAAAATTCAAGATTTGGAAATGAAAGGCTCACTTTTTCAAATAACTTTGCATTTTCTTCTAACAACATTCTCTCCTAAATTAAAACAAAATGTATTATTGAAACAAAAACAAGTGAAATTGTTGAGATGCTTAGAGCTAGAAGATTGAGGAAGTAATATATGTTTAATTCAATGGAAGTGGTTATTCTTACCTTTTCTTTTAGTTGTTGCATCTGCTCCTTGAATAACTGGGCCTATAATATAGGACATAACATGTTTAATCTACGTACTTTCATGTAAGCAAACACAATTTTCAAGCATTGTCTAAGCATTGTATGTAGGTAGACACATGGCACAATGAAAAATCTAGTACAATAAAGAAATTTGAATCAACGATACGAGGAATGTCAAGCCCAAAGTCCCTTGCATGTAGGTAGATGGCACAATGAAGAATCTATTAATTAAACAATACATTTGAGAATCCAATCCCACATCATGGAAGAGACCTTAGACCACTTAAATGGTTAAAGGGATGTGGGTTGCAGCTTTATCTATGAGTATATATAACCTAAGGAGGAGACAAGTCTGAGGAAATGTGGACGCTGTATGTCTATAAAGGGTCCAATGACGGTGCAAATACTCTAAATATGTCAAAAAGCTCATTTGATAGTAACTCAAGAGCTAATTTTCCTTCAAAATAAGAAGTATTGTAATCTTGCTTTGACTCATTAATGGAATTACTTTTAGCCTAAATGCAAATTTAAAGGTTGCAAACCTTTCTTGCCCTGATATTTTTCAAGCTTTGTTCTAACTGGCTATCAATCTCTTGAAGTTCCTCAACAGAACATAAGCCCAATCCTTGACCCAACAGCTTCCTGTATAACATCAAAATTTCATATTTTAGAAATCCTTTCACCTGAGTGAGGTGATGCAACATGACATAAGCATTAAATCAATAATAAACCTTTTAGAAACTTCCAGGAACTCAATCTTTTTAAACATATTTGCTGTTCCTATCCTCAAGTGCTGCACTTCGAAATTTTTCGAGGAAACCGTAGGAATTATTAGCAGCTGTAAGCTAGTAATTTATGATAACCACAAAGCGAGCTGTTTGATGAGGGCAATGAAGATGCAATGTAGAATATATATAAAGAAATTTGATCATATGAATCAAAGAATCAAGCGACAAAACCTAATTAAGACAAAGGCTTAAGTATTGAATAGGGTCATGAACTTTCACCAAATTTGCAATTGAGATCCTAAAGTTTTATTGTGCCTAGATAAGGTCCAAAAATCATTTAAATTCTCAAATAAGGTCCCAATTGAACGAAACCAATTAGTTAGTTAAACTAGTCGTTAACTCTAATTAGTTAGGTATCCAAAATAGTCCTAGCTTTTCTATTTTATCTTTTAATGGCCTTAAAACTTTTAGTAACCTAAAAATACTCCTTAAGTTTAGTTGTTTCATAGTTGTGCCAATTTTATAGGAGCTACAATTAAAAATTAATTTTTTTATGGTACTAAAAATTAATTTTTAACTCTAATTTTATGTGAACTATTATAAAAGATTACATTGTTATTTTTGAAACTATATATAACAAATAAAACATATCAAATTAGTTAAATAAAAAAGACATTGATTAGTACATACTCCAATTTAACACACAATAGAACACAATCATTAAAAAATTATTATTTTTTAATTTAAAATTAAAGACAAATAAATTTTAAGATGGGACCATATGCACAAGATACAAGAACTAAATTGGATGTATATATATTATATTTTTTATGGTTAAACATTTGTGTGTCAAAAAGTGTTCTTAATCGAGTATGCACTAATTATTTTTCAATAATAAAAAAAAAAAAAACAAAGGAAAGAGAAAGGGAGGATGGACAAAGCATATTGGGCTATTATTGGGATTTCACAAATTCATCATCATTTTTATATAAATAAATATAAAAGATTAAGTTATTTAATTAAGAAACTAAAAATTAAATTTTTACTTAATGATTAATGGTTAGTTAATGTTTAAAGCAATTATTTAATAGTTAATTAGTAAATTATTTAATATAATTAAAATTAATTTTTAGTTGTTGCCATGTGGGTCCCAAATAATTATCACATCAACAAAAAAACTAAGTTTGAGGAGAAGTTTGAGGTTATTGAAAATTTTAGTGTTATTTGAAAGATAAAACAGAAAAATTAGGGATCATTTTGGATATTTAGTCAATTAGAGTTAACAGTATTAATAACTAATTAATTTAACAAATTTAATGGTTTCCATACAATTGAAACCTTATTAAGTATGTATCCTTCCTTTCCAAATAGAATTATATTGTATATAATATCATCTACGTTTACATTTACATATTCAAGTTGCTCCTTTTCATATAATTCAGATTGTGTAAGGATACCCTACTCAAACACCAAACCTTACAATTTGCTTTCGTAACTATAATTGTTTCTGTTTCCTATGAAAAAGAAACAAATTTTGGACCGCCCTTTTCTCGGAAAAAATTCATGGAAAATTAATCTGTACAATGAAACATGGAAGTCTAACCTGCATGTGTTGTTCCATTTCAGGCTTGTGAGATGGAATTTCTTTTGTATGCATATGGTATTGTTCAATGGTCTTCTGCATGCTGAAGCATTTCAGAAAATGAAAAAAAAAAATGTCATTAATCCATGATAAATCCTATCAGCTACATTCCTCAACCCACTATCTAAGCCTAAGAGATGAATGCCAAGAAAGAAGATGCATCCTAGTTCGCAGAATGGTCACCTTAAACAAATTATAACTTAGACTACATACTTAAAACACAAGAATAACAATTATTAGGATTTAATTTGAATGTAGTAAAGGAAAATTAGGTTTTATTAGTTTTTTTCCTTTTAAGCTGTTTTACAAAGGAGGCTTTGACATATGTATTTGTAGGGCATTACACTGCCATTGAAAAATTTGGCATGCAGCTTCAACATCATCTAGCATCCGATTAAATCTATAATTTAATGATAATCGGTTTGTGAATTACAATTTTGAGTGGGCATTTGAATTTAAATCTTTAATTTTGAGTACATTTATTTGGCTTTGTAATAAAAAAGAGTAGAATTGAGAAAAAAGACAAATTGATCTCATAAATCTCAGATCATAAAATTTAAATTATAATTAGTTTGTGAATTGCAAATTTGAGTGGGCATTTGAATTTAAATCTTTAATTTTGAGTACATTTATTTGGCTTTGTAATAAAAAAGAGTAGAATTGAGAAAAAAGACAAGTTGATCTCATAAATCTCATATCCGTGTAAACCTTGATTTCTTATTAATGTACATGGAAAATGATTTGGAGACAACATTTTTGTACTGCCTTTTTGCATAACTTTATTTGTCATTTAAATGATTGACTCTTTTTATTCATTTGAGACTTATGATATTGAATACATCCACTCATTTCATAACACATGAAAGTTGTATAAAAATATTGTACAAAAAATTAATCCCTATATCACTGCCCTAATGTACACACACACATATATATTCCCCAACTTATATGAAATAAATACATGAATTTCAAAATGGTTTAAATTTTGGTGAAACAATATAATTCTAAATGCTTGTATTTTCAAGAAATGAAAATTTGATTTAAATTCCCAATCTACAACCTAAGATACATATTTGAATTCAAATCTCACTTTGATAGTTGTTTTTTATTGCTAACTAATCAAACTACAAAATATCTATAACTTTATTAGAGTTCTAACTTTTAGGAGCTAATTAATTGTCATAAGAAATAAAATGTAGTCCATTCATAAGAAGATTAGTCAAAATAGAGTATTACGTAAATAGCACAAGGAGAAGATTTATCAAAAATATGAAAATCAACATGCTATTTCTAAATATGAGGAGACTGGAAATTATAAAACCTAGGATAGTCCTTTAAAAATTGATTTTCATGTCACTACCAATAATAAATCTATTGGTCATGAAAAGTGACAAAGGATTTGGTCAGGAATCAATCTAGGGTGGATAGTGTAATTTACTATATAAAATTTAGTTTAGGCCAAAAATGAGTCTAAATAAAAAAGAAGCCAATACACATATTGTAGCTACCAGTTGGTTGTCAAATTTTAACAAGAATATTCTATACTCTATAGCATTAGAGAACCTTACATACATCCCTAGAAAAAGTCCCATTAGTTAATTAATAACATGAGATTTTATGTTAAAGGTCTAAAATTTAAATCTTGAGATAGATGGGGGAGACTATATATCTCATATTGTCTACACACCCACCTCAATATATAAAAGGAAAAATGCTTAGATACAAAGAAATAAAAAGAAAAAAGAAAGAAAGGGACTGCATTAGAAAATTAATTATCGAATATGCACTCAAAAAGGGAAGAAATAATGATTAGAGTCACTAGTTTTCAAGGACAACTATTAAACTAGCGCGTCCAAGACATCATCCAAGGGCAATTTTTATTTATTTATTTATTTTTTTTGAAAATCAGCTAACGAAATGAAATTTATATTAAAGTACTTCAACCATCATGAACATGAACATGCCTTAGAATTCTCCCAACATGTAAAACACTTAAATCCAAATTTAAATCATGTTACTTGATCCTGTACTTGTCTCGCCTTCTTCACAGCTTCCCGGTATTCATTCACTGTTAAATAGTTTATAAATGTTTGAGATCCCACATCAAAAAGTATGGGAACTTAAAGGAGTTTATAAATGCCTATCTTTATCAACAAATAATTAAGTAAAGTGAAACCCAAGAGAAATTGGGCCTTGGCCCTTTATATATAGTCAAAAGATGGGCACTTGGGGCTTGACTGCTAGAACATCTTTAATTTTTTATTATTTTCGGATTTATTTTATTTTATTTTATTAAATTATAATTTGGAAAGGCATATTTGAAAATCAGACATGACTATTGGCAGTCAAAAGGTATCTTTATAAAATGGTGTCTTTTAAAGGGATGCATCCCTTCAAATAGTGACTTTTCAGGCATTATAAATTCCTATGCAATGTCAGAGTTTTACATCTAATTCTTAGAGAGTTTTGAGTTCTGTTGTATCATGGAGGATTTTAAATCCTTAAGGAAAGTGAGATCACGCCTCAGAACAATTCTTTTATTCTTCTGTTATTTAACATTTCTTAACAATCTTAAGTATTTAAAATTACTTATGGCTCTTCCTATGAACGCCAACATCAAGTTGCTAAATCCAGATGCAGTTAGATTGGATAGGTTTGATGGCACCAACTACATGCATTAGAAGGATAAGATGACTTTTCTACTAACAACACTGAAGGGTTCATACGTTCTTGATCCAAAACTGCAACCTATCCAAGCATCGAAGGAAAATGATTCTGAAGCAGTGAAGAATGCAAGACTAAAGCGTGAAGAAGATGAACTCATATGTCGTGGACACATTCTAAATTCTCTCACTGATAGACTTTATAATCTGTATCACAACATGTCTTCTCCTCAAGAAATTTGGATTGCTTTGGAAAAGAAATACAAGCATGAAAAGAAAGGTACAAACAAGTTTCTTGCACTTAAATATTTAGAGTTTGAAATGAAAGGTGGCATTTCCATCATGGATCAAGTGCATGAATTACAAATTTTGGTATCAAGAATGTTAGAGTTGGAGATAAAGATTCCAGAGTCACTTCAAGTGGGGGCAATACTTTCAAAACTTCCTCCATCTTGGAATGATTATAGGAAAAAGGTTATGCATTCAGATGAAATTTTGACTATGGAACAGTTTCAAACACATCTCCAAATTGAGGCAGAAAATCGTTCAAGAGATGCAGTATTGGCACCCTTGAAAGTTAATTATGTGAGTCAAAATTCTGCCAATCCTTTCCAGAATAAACTCAAGCTTCTTAAGAAAAATAGTGCTTTCAAGAAAGCTTCTTTCAAGAAAAGTCAACCTTGTTACTATTGTGGTAAGAAAGGTCACTTCATTAAAGATTGCAAATTCAGGAATAATGCAAGGAACTTTAGTTTTGGCACCAGTGCAAAAACAAGTAACAAGGCAAATTTGATTGAGCATGAATTGGTTGCTATGGTTTTTGATATGCAAGTTGGGATGGTGACTGAATTGAACATGGCAAATCCAACCAAGTCTATGGATTGGTGGCTAGATTCTGGTGCAACAGTTCATGTGTGCAATAACAAAGCACAATTCAAGTTTTATGAAGATTTGAAGGAACTAGAGGAAGTGCTTATGGGAAACAATGTCACTGCAAAAGTTCTAGGTAAAGGCACAATGGAATTAAGGTTCACTTCAGGCCACAAATTGACCTTGGTTAATGTTTTCTATGTGCCTGATATTAGAAAGAATTTGGTCTGTAAATCTGTTGTGTAAAAGGGGCTTGAGGGTTGTCTTAGAATCAGATAAGGCCATTATATCAAAAAATGGCAACTTTGTGGGGAAATGTTATTCTTATGATGGAATGTTCAAATTGAGTATTAATGAAATAAATAATGTTTCTGCTTATATTGTTGAGTGTTCTTCTACTTTATGGCATTCTAGACTAGGACATGTGAATTATGAATCATTAAAATATATGTCTAAGCATGAATATTTAACTTGTAAAAATGATTTTAAAAATTAATGTGAAATTTTTGTGCAAGGAAAGATGACTAGAAAACCTTTTCCAAAAAGAGAAAGAAATACATAAATGTTAGAGTTAGTGCATTCTGATATTTGTGAATTAAATGGTCATCTTACTAGAGGAGGTAAAAGATACTTCATAACATTTATTGTTGATTGTTCTGGATATACATATGTGTATCTTATGAGAACAAAAGATGAAGCTTTTGACAAGTTTAAAGAGTATAAATTTGTTGTGGAAAATTAGAAAGAGAAGAGAATTAAAGCTCTTCGTAGTGATAGGGGTGGTGAGTATTTTTCAAATATGTTTTTACAATTTTGTGAAGAACATGGCATCATATATCAAAGAACAACCCCCTATTTACCCCAACAGAATGGTTTGGTAGAAAGGAAAAATAAAACTTTGGTTGACATGGTTAATTGCATGTTGATAAATTCGAAGTTGCCATTTAATCTTTGGGGGGAGACACTTCTTACTGCTAATCATGTTACCAACAGAATTCCATCAAAGAAAAATCATGTTTCTCCATATGAGACTTGGAATAATGGTAGAAAACCAAATCTGAATTATCTCAAAGTGTGGGGGTGTCTTGCCTTTTATAAGGTTCCAGACCCACAAAGAACAAAACTAGGACCTAGAGGCATTAGAAGTGCATTTGTTGGTTATGCAATTATTCTAAGGCCTATAGGTTACTAGATTTAGAGTCAAATGTTATAGTAGAATCTGTACATGTTGAGTTCTTTAAAGACAAGTTTATTAAAGATTCTTCTACTATGTTTGATTCTGGAAATTCTTTGAATAATTCAATGTATGAAAATCATAATGGTACAAGTACAAGTACACTTCATGATGAGAAAAGAAAAGAGAATGATGGTTCAATGGAACCAAGAAGAAGTACAAGGATTAAGAGAGAAAAGTCTCTTGATCCTGATTTTATTTCTTCTCAATCTATTGTCTTCCTAGTTGAAGCAACCAGAACTAAAATAATTCGAAAAATACCCATGGTATTAAATGTTGAAGAAGATCCAAAAACATTTCAAGAAACAATGGCTTCAAGGGATGTAGCTTTTTGAAAAGAAGCTGTGAATGATGAGATGGACTTTATCATGTCCAATAATACTTGGATTTTAGTGGATCTTCCGTATGGTTCTAAACCAATTGGTTGTAAATTGGTATTTAGACGAAAATACAATACAGATGGAACAATACAAACCTTCAAAGCAAGGTTGGTTGCAAAAGGTTTTACTTAAAAGGAAAGAATAGATTATTTTGACACATATGCTCTTGTTGCAAGAATAACATCTATAAGAGTTCTCTTTGCATTGGCTTCAATTTATAAGCTATTTGTGCATCAAATGGATGTTAAAACAACATTCTTGAATGGTGACGTAAGTGAAGAAGTATACATGGAACAACCAGAAGGCTTCATACTTCCTGGAAATCAAAGAAAAGTTTGTAAACTAGTTAAGTCACTATATGGCCTAAAGCAAGCTCCCAAGCAATGGCACCAGAAATTTGATACACATATTCTAGCAAATGGATTCAAGCATAATGATGTAGATAAGTGTATCTATTCAAAGTTCACTAAGGATTATGGAGTTATAGTATGTCTTTATGTTGATGACATGTTGATATTTGGTACCAACATGTTGGGAATAAATGAAACCAAAAAGTATCTAACTTCAATCTTCAAAATGAAAGATTTAAATGAAATAGATACTATTTTGGGTTTTAAAGTAAAGAGACATAATCATGGCTTTGTACTTAGTCAATCACATTATATAGAGAAGATGTTGAATAAATTCCAACATCTTAATATAAAGGAAGCCCTTACTCCATATGATCCTAGTATGAAGTTGACCTTAAACCTAGGTCATATTGTTGCTCAATTGGAATATGCAAGTGCAATAAGGAGTTTAATGTATGCCATGCATTGTACTAGACCAGATATAGCCTTTGCAGTATACAAATTATCAAGATACGCAAGTAAACCAAGTCATGAACATTGGAAAGCTATTAGAAGAATTCTTGGTTATCTTAAAAAGACAAAAAAGCTTGGTTTGATTTACTCAGATTATCCAATGGTCTTAGAAGGATACATTGATGCAAATTGGATCACTAGTAAGAGTGATAACAAATCTACTTCGGGTTGGATCTTCACACTTGGAGGAGGTGTAATAAGTTGGGCATTAAAGAAACAAACATGCATCTCACATTCTACAATGGAATCTGAGATTATTGCTTTAGCAGCAGCAGGCAAGGAAGCATAATGGTTGAGAAATTTATTACTTGATATAAAGTTGTGGCCACAACCTATGCCAGCAATTTCCTTGCATTGTGATAGTGAGGCTACAATGTCTAGAGCATATAGCAATATTTATAATGGGAAATCTAGACATATTAGTCTCAGACATACTTATAATTGAGAGTTGATCACTAGTGGAGTTATAACAATAATCTATGTAAGGTCTGCAAACAGTCTAGCTGATCCTCTCACAAAAACATTACCATGAGATGTGGTGGAAATGATGTCTTTAGGAATGGGGCTTAAATATTTAAATTAGGCATTGGTAATGGGAACCCAACTTTTATTTAGTCATTTCTAAATTTAAAGTTTAATGGGTAAGAACAAGATACTATATATGCCTGTTTAGCACTTGAAACCTATTCCTACTTTAGTCAAGTGCTGACTGTTGCGTTTTGGAGGATGAGTGTAAACTCTTAATGGAGTTGATCATTTCTAAGTGTCTATAGCAACAGGGACATAAAGAACTCCACCTAAATGGTCATAGAAGTGGTGCCGCTTCAACAAAAAGATGTTGGATTCTCTTGTAAATGACCATTATTAACAGGATGAGCACATGGCCATAATAGTGCTAAAAGGTTTTAAACCTCTTGGATTAGGTAGATAAGTCTTATGTGTGTCATACACTTATGTCTAATATAAGTAGTTATGATTTAATCCTTGGACACCAATAACTTCATTAGATATGAAATATGTACACTAATGGAAGGTTTAAATCGAGAGATACTTTCTTTAAGCATGTTACTTATCAAGTAGAACTAAATTAATATTTCCAAACTAGTGGTGGAATGTTGAATAGTTTGTAAATGTTTGAGATCTCACATCAAGAAAATATGGGAACTTAAATGAGTTTATAAATACCTATCATTTATCAACAAATAATTAAGTAAAGTGAAATCTAAGGGAAATTGGGCCTTGGCCCTTTATATATAGTCAAAAGATGGGCACTTGGGCACTTGGGGCTTGACTGCCAGAACATCTTTAATTTTTTATTATTTTTGGATTTATTTTATTTTATTTTATTAAATTATAATTTAGAAAAACATGTCTGAAAATCAAACATGACTATTGGCAGTCAAAAGGTACCTATATAAAATGGTGTCTTTTGGAGGGATGCATCTCTTCAAATAGTGACTTTTCAGGCATTGTAAATTCCTATGCAATGTTAGAGTTTTACATCTAATTCTGAAAGAGTTTTGAGTTCTGTTGTATATTGGAGGATTTTAAATCCTTAAGGAAAGTGAGATCACACCTTAGAACAATTCTTTTATTCTTCTGCTATTTAACATTTCTTAACATTCACTGCTCTAGCTCAATCTCATGGGTTGTGGCATCAATCATGAAAAGTAGCAGTGTATCACTTAGCTTTATTTTTGAAGCAAGTAAAAGATTTTAAGAATTTTCTTCCACATAAAATGCTTCCAACTTGGATGCTAAACATGTAATTATCAGAGGCAAAACATTTATGTAAGGGGCTTTTATCAAGTCTCTAATCATGGTAAAGAGTTTCGATATTTGGACGGTATTGGAAGATTAATTTTTCTTTTCCCCTACAAATGTAACCGATGATTTCTTTTAACTAATTTTAAACACAAATGGATAATACATTCTTTAATCTACCATTTAGTTAATAGATTTAGAGCATGTTGAGTGAAACTTATAAATACTTCAACTTTTTGACACAATTAATGTTCCATAAATTTAAATTTTTCTCTTAAAAAATTATATTTTTTAATTTTTTTTTAATCTTAAAAAGAATTTAAACAATAAATTTTAAAAATTTTCAAACTTTTATTTTTCATAAATTTATTTTTTACTCACTTCTTACTCACTTATTATTCATTTCTTATTATTTCCAAAAGTACTTTTAAATTTTCCCTCTAATATAAATTTAAACTTATAATTCAACAAATTCAACATCCAACAAAGACAAATGAGGTCAAGAGTGGGAGTGGGGGGTGGGGACTGGACTCCAATTGGGCTATAGATGAGGTTGTTGGAGAAACCAAAAGCCCTGACGGATACTTGGACGACGCCATAGGGGAAGGAGTGACGTGACGAGCAATGGTTTTGGTGTCTTGTGGCTGAGCAGCAAGGGACTTACGTGAGCGGAACAGTGAGATTGAGGATCTGTTGGACCTAGTAGACATTTTTGGAGGGAAGAGAAAGTCAAAGTCAATAAAAGATGTCTGCACTCCGGTAAGGAAGTGGAGAGGTTCTTAGGGGTTAAGAGGGAGAAGGCGCTGACGAGAGGCCGTCCGGGATTGGCAGTGGCGTTGCCGCCCTTTTGGAGGATGGATTTTGCATTTTTGGGTCCTACAGGGGACCAACAGGGGTACTCTCTCCTTAAACAAGAGCAGCGGCCAAAAGGGAGATTTGGGGTT